CCGAGCAGGGAGCCCGATGCGGGGCTCGATCCCAGGACCCTGGGACCATGACCTGAGCCGAAGGCAGACGCTTAACGACAGCCACCCAGGCGCCCCTCAGAATACTTTGAAAGCATAAAATCAAATACATAGGATTATAAAGGAAACCAATTATATCAAAATACAATTGCCAAAGTATTTTTTTTTAAGATTTTATTTATTTATTTATTTATTTGAGAGTGTGAGAGAGAGCATGAGAGGGGAATGGGTCAGAGGGAGAAGCAGACTCCCCACCGAGCAGAGAGCCCGATGCAGGACTTGATCCTGGGACTCGGGGATCATGACCTGAGCCGAAGGCAGTCGCTTAACCAACTGAGCCACCCAGGCGCCCCAATTGCCAAAGTATTAATGCAACTTTGTGAGAGTAATAGATGTGCTTCTTTGTTATTTATTTTATTTAAAGATTTATTTATTTATTTGAGAGAGAGAGAGTGTGTGCACGCATGCATGTGCCCACAAGCAGGGGGAGGGGCAGAGGGAGAGAATCCCCAAACAGGCTCCCTACTAAGTGCAGAACCTGATGCGGGGTCCCATCTCAGGACCCAGAGTCATCACCTGAGCCGAAACCAAGAGTTGGACGCTTAACCAACTGAGCCACCCAGGCATCCCAATTATTTATTAAATAACAGGATGTAACATTGGAGGCTGTGGAACAGCTCTGTATCTTTTTTAAATTATTATCATTATTATTATTATTATTATTGAAGTATAGTTGACATACAATATAGTAGTTCTAGGTGTACCACATAGCTATTTGACATTTATATACATTATGAAATGCTCACCATGGTAAGTGTAGTTACCATCCATCACCATACAAAGTTATTACAGTTATTACTGATCATTTTCCCTGTGCTGTACTTTACATCCTTACATCCCTGTGAATAATTTATTTTATAACTAGAAGTTCTTCTTGATCCCCTTCACCTGTTTTGCTCATTTCACCCATCTCCCTTCTGACAGCCACGATTTTGTTCTCTGTATTTATGACTCTGTTTCAAACAGCTCTGTATCTTGAACGTGGTGGTGGTGACACAAAACTACATAGGTGGTCAAATTGCTTAGAACTATACACACACGTGTGTGCTTACACAGAAACACACAGTGAAATCTGAATAAGCTTTGAATTGTACCACTGTCGATTTCCTGATTTTGATGGTATATTACAGTTATGCAAGATATTAACCACCAGGGAAGACTGGTGAGGGGTATATGGGACCTTCCTATGTATTTTTTTTGGTAACTTCCTGTGAATCTCTACTCCAAAATAAAAAGTAAACCAAAAAACGGCCAACAGTACATTGGAGAAAGCAATAGAGAAATACATTCATGTGCTTCTCTTTGCATATTTCTTTCATGGCATTTGTTGACATAAAATAGTTTTCAGAAAAACATTTAATAAAGTCTTTCTCAGTATCTTGTTGTATACAATGGAGCAGTAGGTTAGAACACCCAAAAGGTATGAATTTGTGTTAGACCAGACAGAGGTTCCCAGTGGTATGTTGCGGGGCTCCG